ACATTCCCAACTTTGAACAAAGACCACAGTTTTTGGTTTACATCCATGGGCCTCCCGTCCAAATTTGATTGGTAGTTAGCCGCCTCGTGGATGGACAGGTTGCTGAACACATTTCCCCTTGAACCCGCCAGCTTATTAATCCCCCATCTGGACCACATCAGGTCCACATCTGGGTCAACATGCCGGATGGAACATGCTGCATGAACAGTACAGGACCTGATGTGGTCCATGGAGGAGAGGATGTCCAGGAGCATGATGGGCTTTGACTCCTGCCCACCAAGCTGTCCCACTGTCCTCAGAACAGCCACCCCATTTGGCAGCTCAAGGGAGTCAATGGCTGTGTCTATTAAAGCCAGGAACATTGACTGGTCATCCCGAAAGAGCCTGAACTTTGCAAGTTCAAATATGTTATTTTTTTGGATTGACAAGCGTGTCATCTCCATCGGACCAAGATTTATAAGTTGGCTGACCACTGCCCTGGCTACGTCTGCTGCCACATCCTCGGTCAGGTTTTTAGCAGCCGCCTCCGATATGAGTATGTTGCTGGGAATAACCTTGTCAGCTGGGACAAGGGAAAGGATCATGACCCAGCCCCCTTCGGCTGTGCCCAGGTTGACCCCATACACCCGCCTCCACTCTTTCATCACCTCAGCTGACATCTCCCTGAGGGGAAGATGTTTTTTTAAAAAAGGCCACTGTGCCTTAGCTGGAAAGCTGTGGTGAGAAGTTGGTAAGTAAATGTAGGGCATGGGTGCCTTTAAAGCGGCAAATGTGGTTACCTCTAAAATTACCCCATCAATATCCCAAGAGAGATGCAGGGAGGTTGGATCTGGGTGGAAGGCAGCGTGGACTGGCATGTAGAACTCTTCCTCAGTCCTGAGGAAGCGCTCAACATCGTAATTGAAAGGCAGGGCTGCGTCAATGACGGCCTGACTGTTTTCTGTGGCAATGTCATCAAATTCCATCTTTAGAAAAACAAATAATAGAGATGAACTATTTACAAATAAAACTGTGTGCCAAAGACAATGTTTTGACAAACAAAAAGCTGCTGGTTGAAATAAGAAAAACAAAAAGCTGTTGGCTGATAAATAGCTGAGATGTTGTCTCTCCAAGCATCTGAATAGAAATGAATAAACCCTGCCTACTTCTCCCTTTTAATAGTGTCTGGTGAAAAATACCAATGAATTTCTTAATTTTCCAATTTTATTTTGTGCTCTTTTTAGGGTTAGGGTTAAAGGGAAAGGAAACTTAACTTCATATGGAAAGGAAACTTAACTTCAAAGGAAACTTAACTTCAAATTTAAACTTTTCTTAAAACAAAATGCTGATTGTTTTAATAAAAATTAAAATAAAATGTATTTCCAACTGTTTTTAAATGGTTTTAAATATTTTTAAATGTTTTTTAAGTTTTAATCTAGTTTTTAAATGTTTTTAGATTTTTTTGTTATTTTTTAAACTTTTTTTCTCTAAATAAACTATGTACAATCAAATATGTGTGCCCACGACAACGTTTCGACCCCTTGTGGGTCTTCTTCAGGTCTGGCACACCTCACTCAACAAAAAAACTCTCTCTTGAATGAAAAACAAAAGATGCTGGCTGGTAATTCTAAAGATGTTCTCTCTTCAAGCTTCTGAGTGGAAATGAAAGCCCTACCAACTTTTCTCCCTTTTTATACCCTCAGACAATAATTAGAGTGAATTTACTTATATTTAAGTTATTTTCTGCTCTATTTAGTTTTTGAAATGTTAACCCTTTCTGCACCGTTTGTGCTTTTAATCCATATTAATTATGTTTATTCACATATTTGTGCTTTAATAAACATATTAATAGGTATTTTTTAATCCCAAGATTAGGGTTACGGTCCTGCTTGACCTTTGACCTCTGTGGCCTGCTTGGCCGTTGGTCATTAAGTTGCCTCTAATGGTTAGGGTTAGGGTTAGGGGTTAGGGTTAGGGTTAAGGTTAGGAGGCTCCCACTTCTCCTATGTGTCCTGAAGAGCAAACATCTCACAGACATACTCAGACAAGTCCGGACATGTTTCTTTTTGTGCCCATAGCCTGAAGAAGACCCACAGCGGTCGAAACGTTGCAACTGGGCACTCTTTATCACACCTTTTCTTTATTTCTTCCTCCTCATAGGCATTTTATTTGGTTTTCTTTCTTTTATTTCATTTTGATTTCAGAAAACAACAAAAAAAGCATAAAAAAATTAAAGAACAATTCATTTTTTATATACAGTTTTTGTTTTAAATATTTTTTCATTTCATTAGATTAATAAATAGATAGATAAATACACAAATAAATAAATACATAGTTTAATAAATACAGTACATTAATAAATAGTAATAAATAATTAAAAAGATTAAAAACAATCATGAATTATGAGCAACAAGACTGGACTGAAGTGCGGTACGGGAAAAGGCGTGGTCGACGCCCGTACCGCACTAATAATCAGCAATACCAAACGGGGTCGTGGGGGACGGGGAACAGGGGGATGGACCGTGCACCTCCTGTCTCCTATCCTGGTTGAAGTCCGTAACCTTTATGAGACAGATATCATTGTGTGAGGACAGCAGGATGTTCTCTGGCTTCAGGTCTCGGTGGATTATTCCATTGGTGTGGAGGTACTGGACGGCTCTCAGCATCTGGTAAAAGTAAAGTTTGGCGATTGACTCCTTCAGCTGCCCCTGGGACTTCACTTTTTGGAAAAGTTCTCCTCCTTCCATGAGCTCCAAGACAATGTAGTAGCTGTCCTCTGTCTGATAGAAGTCTTCTGTCTTTGTGAGGCAAGGATGGTTCACTCGCTGCAGAATTTCAATCTCTGTCTCCGCATTTCGCGTTGCTGTCCCTTCAGACTGAAAATTCTTCTTGTTTATTATTTTCACTGCAAATTTTTTGCAGGTGGATCTCTCGAAGGCTAGTTTTACTTCACCACACACCCCTGTGCCAACCTGCCGAGTCAGTACGTATTTTCTTTGCAACTCCTGCGGGAGAGCTGACTGACTGTCAGACATCAGATCGATGAAGACAAAGACTTTGTTGCTTTGCTCAGACAGAGCGAGCACAGCGTTGTTGACGAGAGGGTTAGGTTTGGGAAAGAATCCCGTCTCCCCTAGAATGACCCTACTTGGGTCTGCGGGGAGCGGGGAATGCACGGGCCTTCGCCCACTGGACACGCTCCCCCGGTCCCCCAGGAAACACGACTTGTGCTTAATAAATGTTGTTGTTGACTTGGTTTTAATGTGTTGTGTTATTGTTTTTAAATATTTTCCAATTTTTTAGGATTTTTGTTTTTGTTTTTAAATATTTTCCATTTTTTTTAGGATTTTTTTGTTTTTATACACAACACACAAACAAACAAACAAACAAACAAACAATACATGATCACACATGAACTATGTACATACATTGTGCGCGTCGACGACGTTTCGACCCTACTTGGGTCTTCATCAGGTCATGCGCACAAAAAAAAAAAAATGGCTGCTGGGCCCCAATTCATAGGGGTTACCCCAGCAGGCAGCCAAATAAAAATGAAATTATCCCTGTTCCCCTCTCCCTTTTATACCCTTGGAGAAATAATTTACTGAATTTTCTTGGATAATTTGTGTTATTTTGTACTCTATTTAGTTTCTGAATGTTAACCCTTTAAACGCTGATTGTTTTTTAATGCATGATATATTTATCTTATGTTAACCCTTTAAACACTGATTGTTTTTTAATGCATGATATATTTATCTTAATCCTGAGGTTAGGTTTCAAGTGACCCCTAGGGTTAGGGTTAGGGTCAGTATTAGGGTTAGGGTTAGGGTTAGGGTTAGGGTTAGGGGTTAGGGTTAGGGTTAGGGTTAGGGGTTAGGGTTAGGGTTAGGGTTAGGGTTAGGGTAAGGGTTAGGGTTAGGGTTAGGGGTTAGGGTTAGGGTTAGGGTTAGGGTTAGGGGTTAGGGTTAGGGTTAGGGGGTTAGGGTTAGGGTTAGGGTTAGGGTTAGGGGGTTAGGGTTAGGGTTAGGGTTAGGGTTAGGGTTAGGGGTTAGGGTTAGGGTTAGGGTTAGGGGTTAGGGTTAGGGTTAGGGTTAGGGTTAGGGTTAGGGTTAGGGTTAGGATATAGGGATATGTGCCACTTTTGACATGCCGGTTCATTGCCTTTCCCAATGATGAACCGGGCTGAGATTTGGTCTACCCCCCTATTTTCGGGTATGCTGAATCTAGAAATACTAATGAACCAGCGATCGGACATTCCTATCAAAAGTTATGGCGAAATGAAAATTTCCCATTGAAAATGAATGGGAGCGGAAAAATGGCCAAAGTCAGTGTTTGCAAGTGTTGTACTTGTCTGGAACTGTTGAAAATGCATTGTGAGCACGTTTCAGGCCATTTCCTGTCATTTGAGGGCGACTTTGCAAAAAGGGGTGTCATACCGCTTTTGACCAGAGGTGGTGCTGCACATGTCCGACGGTTAGGGTTAGGGTGAGACTTTGGGCAAGGGGTTAGGGTTAGGGCTGGAGCTATGGTTAGGGTTAGTTGTGGAGCTAGGGTTAGGGTTAGGGTTGGAGCTAGGGTTAGGGTTAGGGTTGGAGCTAGGGTTAGGGTTAGGGTTAGGAAAATGTGAAGATTTTCCCAAAATCTGAAGATTTTCCTAAGTGCGGACCCAATTTTTCACCTTCCAGAATTGTGTTAGGAGCACGTTTCAGGCCACGGGGAGTCCATAGAACCTGATTCTGGGTGAAGTTTGAGGGTAAGGGTTAGGGTGAGGCTTACAGGATAAATATTTCTAATTGGACATTACAATTATAATTCATTAAAATTAATCAGCTAAAAGAGGGTAAAAAAATCAAATTGGCCATTAACATTCATGTCATTAAATTTCAGTTGGCATTTATGGGGTTAACTGCACCCAGACGGCCGGGGGCCCCGTCTGGCTCTGCTCTCTCCCACGCCTCTATAAATAACTCACGCACACACAGCTCAGTTCCCTCACTTCTTATATGTCTCCTGAAGAGAAA